GCAGAGGTGGAGTGATGTAGGAGGAGATTACGTAGTGTGACAGAAGGGGCGGCACAGCCAGCCTTGTTCAGCTCTGCTCTTCTAAGAGAATTTGAAGGAGCATATTTGGGAAAAGTAGTAAAAAAAGTATGAACTCTGTAGTAACACTTATTCCATCCCAAATCCTATTCTAGCCCTTCACTTTAGTCTCATTTAAACTTCTACACTCTTCATGCTGCTGGACAGATACTTATCTCTATCAGCACGAATGATCACCTCTGGAAATCAACTTCAGAAATCACCTGAATGAAGTGTCACTTTCTCTGTCCCCACAAATAATGTGCTCCATTAGTAATTCAAGGCATGTGGAGATCCAGAGATGCTGTGCTTGGCATGGCCTATGTGCCCGAGACCATATGAATCCTGATTACCAGGCCTGGTGCCAGCGGTCACCTTCCCTACCTCAGGATGCTGCACAGCGCCCAGTGGAGTGGGCGACCTTTGTCCCAGACCCGCCCCAGAGCCCTCTCTCAGGAACTCACTCCTCTCTGAGGGTGCTGCTTCCCATGCAGCTCTCCTGACTCCCCTCGCCCTCGTGGGTTCCCCCTTTGCATCCCAGATCTGTGGGTGTCAGGAAGGCTTGCTAACTCTCAGGCCCAGAGTCCTGAAACATCTCTTTGCCTACACGCTCTGCGCTGGCTCCTCCAGGCGCCTTCCTTGACGCCCTTGCTTGTTTCTTACAGCTTCACTAGGTGGAGGAGGGTTCTATAGCCAGTGCCAGCTCAAATTTGGTTCTCGAGCATAGCATGTAGGATATTTTCCTTGTGAATTCTCTGGCTGAGTTTCTTGCTCCTCTATAATACAAATGTTTATTTTCCAAGAAAATATTTTCTGCATGCGTTCACTTTTCCATTATTGACATCATAATGCTGTGGAAGTAAGCTAAGTTCAGTAAGAAATAGACCTTGAACGGGGGACTGCAGCCCTGCATTGCAGGGTTCAGTTAATTATGTGACGTGTGCAGCGCTTGATTATAAAATGGCCTTTGGGTCAGATGGAAAAGCAGCAAGCAGGGTCCACTGCTAGACGGTCCTGCCCCATCGCTGGTGGTGTTTAGGTCATGCTAGTTCATGGTATTGTTTGAGCTTGTGCATCAGCTAAGCTCAGGGGTGTCGAGGTCCATCTGACTTTGTTCTTTTCTGAATGTCTCTAGCTTTAACAAGGGTTTATGCAGGATGCATTGCCACTTAAAGGTCTAAGTGCATGGATAGCACCCTCCTTGACGTTCTTTACTGTTTATGTAGTATTTTACTAAACTGTACTACTTAACTGCACTTAAATTAATTGCTATGAACAGGAAGAATTACCTACAAATATGAATATCTAAACTCATTGTTTGGAGCTGGCCAGATAGCTCAGCACATTAAAGCTCCTGTTTAGGTAGATGCAAGGGCCGGGGCTTTGATCCCCAGCCTGCCGCTCCGGCCCCACCCCAGGGACATGCTGAGACAGGGAATGAGACTGGGCGTGGTGGCACCCACCTGTAATCCCAGCACTTGGGAGGCTGAAAAACAGGAAGGATCACTAGGAGTCTGATCTGTGTAGTGAGACCCTGTAGACCCTGTACTAAATACATTTAAAAAATACATTATTTGTATTTTGTATATTTGATTGTGTAGTTTTTCTCTAATTTTTGATTTTATTAGTATATGTTTGTACCTTCTTTCCTCCAAAATAAGACCAAGCTGGAAAACAATCAGCTTTGGAAACTAGGGCTCCCAAGTGCGGCCCTGCCCGGCCTGTGCCTGCCTTGCCTACTGTTGCTGTTGTCTTGCTCCGTGGCTACGCTGGAAGGCTGATACAGCAAGGAAAGGCTGGCTGGGTACCGACTTTTTCATCTCAGCTTTTCAAGACTGATCACTTTCCAGGTTGCCCTTAGTGTCAGGAAACATTTTACCATGTAGGGATTGGGCCAGGACCTGCAGTGGGCACATGGGCTAACTTATCACACTTCAGTGCATTTCCCCTCCCCTGGCATCCCTTTCTCCATCTCTGTGCCTTCTTCCCATTTGCAAAAGATTTCTCTCTCTTTTTTTCCTATTATCTATTTTTTTCTCTTTAATTCATTTGTTCTGTGGGTTCCCATATAAGAGAAACCATGTGATGTTTTAGCTTGTCAGGTTTATTTCACTTAACCTTATGGTCTCACGATGCATCTGTTTTCTAACTAATGACTCAAATTTATGTGCTTCTTTGTAGCAACATAATGTTTCATTATACATAAATCCCACATTTATTTCTCCACCCATCTGTTGATGGACACGTACTGTAAGGCATTACCATTATGCCCCCAAGAGCCTGCCTTTGTTTCAGCCCCACTTAGCCCGTTATTTCTGCCCTCTCTGACGCAGTTCTGGAAGTCCTCGTGAGTCTCTGGCAGTGCTGCTGCGGCGGCCTCATTCTCCTGAACGGACTCAAAGCATGTACCTTCCAAGGTCATTAGGACTTTGTGGAAAGTCCGACGCTGCCTGGAGCAGACCCAGTGAATAAAGTGGATCAGGACGCACTGTGATCCTTTCAGGCCTCCTTGCCATCGGATGGCGCTTGGTAGCAGTGTGCGCAGTGCGCTTACTCACATCTTGTAAAGACGCGCACGCTGGGCCTGGTGACACACGCCTGCAATCCCAGCATTCTGGGGGGCTGAGGCAGGAGGATTGAGAGCTCAAGCTCAAACTGGGCACCTTAGTGAGGCCCCACCCTAAAGTAAAAAATGGAGGAGGGCTTGGGGTGCAGCAGAATGTGAAATTCTTGGGTTCAGTTCCCCCAGTACGGGAAGAAAAGAGAAAGGGTCTTTCTCTAAACTTGGAAACTTAAATATGAAACAACAAATAATAAATGTGTGAGAATTACTAAATATGTCTTAAAGATCAACTTCATGATTATTATGTATGCATCAAAATTATGAATATAAATACAGTGGTTGAGAAGTTTTACGTATACTGCTTACAGCTATCAATTTTAAATTCATATGAGTGGTGACAGGAAATAAAAACATGAAAGTGAAACATTTGTGATGGGATTATAGATATTTTTCACTTTTAAAAAGCCACTTTTAAATAAACATTGAGAAGGGTACAAAAGAGTCCAAATCCATCTGAGTTTTATCAGCCAGTAATTTCTTTTTCTTAAAAATTTCGGACAGAACTTTCCAGAACGCGCTGAGAGGTGGAGGAGTGGTGGCTGCTTAGTCTGCGCATGGCAACCCGCTCCTTCCTGCCTACCCAACCACAGCCTAGCCCGCTCGCCACCTGTAGAAAATGGTGAAGGAAACGACTTATTATGACGTTTTGGGGGTCAAACCCAATGCTCCCCGAGAAGAACTAAAAAAGGCCTACAGGAAACTGGCTTTAAAGTACCATCCTGATAAGAATCCAAATGAAGGTGAAAAGTTTAAACAGATTTCTCAAGTTTATAAAGTTCTCTCTGATGCCAAGAAAAGGGAATTGTATGACAAAGGAGGAGAACAGGCAATTAAGGAGGATGGAGCAGGCGGCAGTTTTGGATCCCCCCGATGGATAGCTTTGACATGTTTTCTGGAGGAGGAGGAAGGATGCAAAGAGAAAGGAGAGGTAAAAATGTGGTGCATCAGCTCCCAGCTACCTTAGAAGATTTATATAATGGTGCCACAGGAAATTCGCTCTGCAAAAGAATGTGATTGTGACAAATGTGAAGGCCAAGGTGGTAAGAAAGGAGCTGTGGAGTGCTGTCCCAACTGCCGAGGTACTGGGATGCAAATAAGGATTCATCAGATAGGACCTGGAATGGTTCAGCAAATTCATCTGTGTGCATGGAGTGCCAGGGCCATGGAGAACGCATCAGCCCTGAAGACAGATGTAAGAGCTGAAACAGAAGGAAGATATCTAGAGAAAAGAAGATTCTAGAAGTGCATCTTGACAAAGGCATGAAAGATGGCCAGAAGATAACATTCCATGGTGAAGGAGACCAAGAACCAGGGCTGGAGCCAGGAGATACTATCATTGTGTTAGATCAGAAGGACTGCTGTTTTTACTCGACGAGGAGATCTTTTTGTGTGTATGGCTGCACAGCCAGTTGAAGCACTGTGTGGCTTCCAAAAGCCAATATCCACTCTTGACAGCTGAATGATAGTCATCACCTCTCATCCAGGTCAAATTGTCAAGCATGGAGCCATCAAGTGTGTGCTAAATGAAGGCAGGCCATTTATCGTAGACCATATGAAAAGGGTCATCTAATCATTGAATTTAAGGTAAACTTTCCTGAAAATGGCTTTCTCTCTCCTGATAAACTCTCATTGCTGGAAAAACTCTTACCTGAGAGGAAGGAAGTAGAAGAGGCCGATGAAATGGATCAGGTAGAAGTGGTGGACTTTGATCCAAATCAGGAAAGACGGCGCCATTATGATGGAGAAGCCTGTGAGGATGACGAACACCATCCTGGAGGAGGTGTTCAATGTCAGACCTCTTAGTGGGGCTGTGAATAGTGCTCACTGCTGGCACGTAGGGAGCAGTAGTGAATGTGAGGACTAAAATCATCACACACTCACTACTTGCTATTGTTTTTGTTTCAATATTATGGTAGTGTTTTAAAAGCTAAATGAAGAATAAACACAATACAAAAGCTCCAGGAAAAAAAAAAATCAGTTATACTGTCAGTCTGAATTTGATGATTCCACAATACTCAAAAATGATTATGTATGCTCAGTTATTTCAGAAATGGAACTATACTTACTTTAGAAATCACAAAGGAGCTGGGTATGGTAGTGTACTCCTATAATCCCAGCACTCTGAAGGCTGAGGTAGGAGGATCTCAACATGAAACTCTTTATGGGCAATTTAGTGACTTAGACTCTGTCTTAAAACTAAGATAAAAATAAAGAAAAAGTACAAGTGGAACTTTGAAAGTTGAAAGGGTTTTGCTTGGGACCCAGTAGAGTGTGGTGCGGACTTCATGTCTCTGGTTGTGTTTTCTTTCCCTCTGCGCAGCCCATGTACTTCTGACCGGCCCAGAGGTGTCCACTCTTTACTGCTGGGATTCGGGGCAGAACCGATTCTCTTTCCTGCTGGAAGCCCCCTCTGCGCACGCTGCAGCAGCTGTCACAGTGAGGTCTCTGAATTCCAGCAGGAGCTTGATCTCGGTGGCAGGTGACCCCCACGCCTTCGTGCTGGAGCTGGCCTCCGTCTCCAGCCAGTCCGACTTTGTCCCCAGGTAGGCCCCACAGCCCACCTGCTGCCCTTGTGTCCACCGCAGTTCTGTAGCAGCGAGTTCTCAGCCCTGGTGACTATTTTATCAGTCAGAAATGTGGTTATCACCCAATTTCTCCTATCTGTTCTGCCAAGTTCACTGTATTCTCTGCTTGTGTTGGATTACATTTTTATTTATGAACTATTATAATCCTTCAGAATAATGTTATTCAGTAATGAGTTCCACAATGAATCTGCTATGCATATATCTTACCTTGGATGTTGTTTACTTATTGTGTGCGTACTTGTCTCGCCAGCTCAGGTGAACTGGTATTTGAACCCGGCAACAGAGAAGCTATAATAGCAGTGAATATCCTGGATGATTTGGTTCCAGAAGAGGAGGAGTCCTTCAGGGTGCAGCTTAAAAACCCCACAGGAGGGGCAGAGATCGGCAGCCAAGGCTCTGTGAAAATAACAATCCTGTCTAACGATGACGCCTATGGAGTGGTTGCGTTTGCCCAGGTAAGAGCCCGGGAGCTCCACGCTCACGCTCCAGCTGGCAGGTGCTGGTGAGTCAGGTCTGAATCTGCATGCAGCGAGGCACAGTGGGCGGTGCTTTGCATGTTCTCAGCTTTTCTCTCTATGTGGGCCACTGATTTCCCCGGACTCTGCACGCTAAGGTGATGCCTGCTGACATTTGCAGATCCGGCCCTATACTCTAGGCTGTGTTAATCTTTTATGTGCTTATGCCTTAGCAGAGCACAAGGGCTGAACAGGTTCTGAAAGCCCTGTAACCTGTCAGTCACATACAGATAGATTGATGATTGTGGTTGGTGACAGAGCCATCTGTGCGTGTATTGTGTGTGTCTAGATGCCCTTGTCCCGAGGCAGGAGAGCTGTACGAAGCCTCCCATGCCCGGTTGTGAACCAGAGGTCAGCCTCCCTGCCACGGGCTTCCTTCATCCCGCCCCGGCAGTGTGCTCTCATCACCACCTGGAGCTGTGTCTGCAGTCCTCAGCTGTCTCCCTCTGCAGTCCTCTGTGTGGAAGCAAAGCCTGACTCCGCTGGTTTAAGAGGGCGTCTATGCGAGGCAAGCTGGCGTGCTGTGCAGTGTCCTTCGCCACTGCTCAGGCCCCCTTTCCCTTCCATTGATTGATGCAAAGTGGTCCTTCTCTTGGTTGAAAACCGATGTTATGGTTTGAGCTACTGCTTTCTGTTTGTGTCCAGTTAGGAACAGAGAGGTGCTTTTCAGTTGAGGGAGAAGTTTCCTAAAGCCTCTAGAAAAACTCCTTACACTTACACTTACGCTATACTTTGTTGGCTAGAACTGAGTCCTGGGCCCATCCAGCCATCATCCGCTCATTCATGTCTTCATGCAGCAGACTATAACAAAGACTGATATGTGGATGTGCCAGCCACTGTCTCAGAGGCTGAATTATGTGACAGAATAAAGTAGTAAACGTCTCCATCCTCTGGTCCTTAAACCTGAGAGACGGGGAGACAGCAAAGACGTAGGGAAATGCCCTGGACCTAAGCAGGCTACAGGCTGGTGGGACACACAGGGACAGGAGAGGGGAGGGTACTGGTGGGGAAACCCAGCACAGAGCAGTCAGGCGGGGCCAAGGGGTAAGTGACAGGAGAGCAGAGGCCTGCAGGTGACAGGGGAGCAAGGCCCACGGGGGTCGGGAGTGAGCTGTGTGCACACCAGGGAGGGCAGCTGAGACGAGGCCTGCAATGAGTCCTGGCCTCTGGGAGCAGCCCAGAAGAGGCTACAGTGGCTGGAGCTGGTGCGCAGCGGAGATGACCTGAGGGGACCCCATGTTGGGGATGCCTGTGGCACCCACAGTGCTGACAACACCTTCTGAGCACCCGTAACACTTAGCGCTCCTCATGCTCGTTGTGTTTGTGATAGTAGAGCGAGCAGCAGAAAATCACCAAGGTGAGGTGCATTTCTGCTTGTGGATGCAATTCAGGAGAAGCCAGGCACAAGCACCCGGGAGCCCCCTTGCAGGGGAGTCATGCCGGACGCCCTGCAAAGGTACATGCAACCTTGTCACAGAGAGGCCTACTGGAAGGCTCAAGGGCTGAGGCTCTAGTTGGAGGTTGGGCATGTAGGCACCCTGTGCCTGGTGCCTACCAAACTACCAGGCTCCCAGAAGAAAGCAGGTGTTGGCATAAGCCGTGCTTTTTGCCAGCAACTCAAGGACAGCGGGCTGCTTAGCAGCTCTGGCCTCGCGAGGGCCTGCTTGAGGCCGGCCCTCAGCCTGGAGGTGGCAGCACTGTCCCGCACGAGCCTTAGCACCTCGGTGCCTTTGACTTCCGAGCAAACGTGAAGTCCTTGGAAGGGTTCTAGCTCGTACTGACTCACATTTAAAAAATGGAAATTAAGTTAAATATAGAAGAAATTCCATTTGACCCAGTGATTCCCCTTCTAGGTATCTTCCCAAAGGAGTTAAAGTCAGCGCATTCCACTGATGCGCACTCACTCCCCCGTGTGCACAGCAGCCTGGCCCAGCAGGGCCAAGGCTTGTGAGCGGCCGGTGTGTCCGTCGGCCGGTGAGCAGGGAGCGAAAGTGTGGTCTTGGCACAGTGCTCTCCTGCCTCAGAGAGGGGACGCTCGGGTCACCTGTGGGAAGGTGGACGCGCCTCGAGACCGGAATGTTCAGTGAGGAAAATCAGGCACAGCTTCCGCATCGCGTGGCTTCTTGTGTGTGAAAAAACCAAGATACAAATTAAAGAGTAAAATAAAAGATAAATGACAAGAAGTAAGTAAATTTTTTGCGCATGGGAGTCAAGAGATGCAGGAAAGAGAAAAAGGAAAGTAGCATTAAGGTGTGTTGTGTGTAGGTACCGACGCCCCACAACAAATGTAATCCTAGCAAATAACCACTAGGAAGAGAGTATGCAAAGTGTTAATTATTGAAACTGTCCTACCAATTTGATTTGAAACTGTCTCATTGCTATTTGTCTCTCAATAAAATCATGGAGAAAAAAAAAGTGAGGAAATAAACAACTAAGTTTTTGATTCTAAAAAAAAAAAAATGTGATCGTTACATGTTGCAAATCTGTACTGATAAAATCAAGGAAATACAAAACGCCCGAGTATGGCTCGAGGATGGAGAATGTGCAGTAAATGGGCCATGACAACGAGTGCATTCAGAAAAGCCGGCAGGCTGGGGAGGCAGGAATTGTCCCCCCATGGTGCGGACAGCGTAGGAGGTGCGGGCCCAGATGGGAGGCCGGATGTGCAAATGCATGTTGGGGCCACTGTTTGCAAGTGTCTGATCATGAAGTCCAGGCGACCCGTCCCTGGAGTTCAGGGCAGGTCCCCACGGCTCAGGCCAAGTAGAAATGTGAGAGGCACCCACACGACTTTAAAGTTTCTTGTAGACACATTTAGAAAAGGAGAAGAAGAAGGTCTGATGAATATTCCACTGAACGCAACATGTCTGAAATGCTAGCATTTCGATGTGAAATCTGCGTGCAGTTCTTGGTAAAACAGTTCATCCTTGTGTTTAACTCCAGCATAAGTTTTGCACCTAGACTAGCCGCATTCGTGGCTCGGCAGCCATGTGTGGGTGGTGCTCTGGGCAGGCGGTGTACACCCGGGGTGAGGCCTCTGTTGGGGGAATCAGGATGGAGGAGGACCCCGTCCCACCTGTGCAGTTGAGGAGGAGGCCCACCCAGACAGCCTTCCGGGCTGAGACCCTAAGCCCCACCGTCTACTCCATCCTCTCACCTCTCCTCTCCTCTGTTATGGCACTGTCAGTCGTCGTTTCTCTCCTTTTATTGAGATTGAAAAGCACGGGAGCCAGGGCCCTGCTCTGAGCACTGCTGGGCCTCTGTCCCTGACGTGAGAGGGTCACGTCAGGTGTGCAGGGAAGCCTGCCAGGAGGCTCGGAGCTGTACCAGGCCGTCCTGCCTGGGGCTGCGGTGGGCGCACCTGCCACCCGCAGGGCTCAGCACCAGATTCCTAGCACCCCAGGCACCATCTGTCACCCTGCGAGGGGCAGGAGTTGGGCTTCTCTGTGCTCTGCAGAATTCCTTGGTGCAGGGCTGCTGTCTGGACAGCTCCAGAGATCTTCAGAGGTGGTGAGATGTCTTGAGTGTTTCCAGGCCTAACTTTAGCAGCTCTCATGCCCGGAATACATGGAGTCCTCTTTTAAAAAGACTGGAAAAGTCCTCTTAAAAAAAAGAAGAAAGAAAAAGATATTGTGTTTTCTCAATAGCTATATGCATATTTTAAAATCAAGGCATTTTCTTCAGGAATGTTTGATTGTCTTGAGCAAGATTTTATTGCTATGCAACACCTGTAACAAAGTGTTAGAATTTTGTGTAAAACAGCCTAAGTTAGGGTCTCCACTCTAATTAACACCTGTAACAAAGTGGTAAAGTTTTGTGTAAAATACATCATAGGATAGGATCTCTAATTAGCGTTCTAGATAGCTTTTACAAGCTTTGAGAAATTAATGAGAAAGTCTTTTTCAGATTATCCTAGTAAAAAGACATGAAGAATCCTTTTGGAACGATAACAATGTCTGTATGCTCCATATTCGTGCCTCCTTGGCTACTGAGGAGCCTTTGGTATGGAAGCAGGGATTACCTGGAGTGTCCTTTGTAAGGAAAAACTCACTTAAATAATTGACCAGAGGTGTTTCATGTGTTTTGTGAAAAATGGTACAGTCACACAGAGCTTGAAATCAGTTTGGGACAAACATTAAGTCGGGTGCACAGATGAGAAGAAAGGGCTTCTAAGGCGAGGTGAGGGGGGATCTCTGGGCGTCGTGAAGACTATGAGCTCAGAGTTCAGTGCCTCGGTAGAAGTAGACGGGCTCTCAGGAACGTGCCGGAGGATGTGGATTTAAGGTGAGAGACATTTGCCCATGATCAGAAAGAGACCCTAATTCTCGGAACACTGTCATGCCGGGATGGCGTGTTGGAGACCATGTAGGGCCAACGCTACGGTGCCAGTGGAAAACAGTGGCGTGGAGGAAGGCCGCATCTCACCCGGGGAGCAGAGGTCCTCCAGCTGCCCGATGCCTGGCCTTTCTGTTCCACAGCTTTCCTGTGCTGTGTGCTAGTTTAAAGAAAAATGTGTGCATTCTAAGTATAAGAGTGAGGGCAAAAAAGTACTAGCAAATCTGAAAAATATGTAAACATGAAGACAAAAATAAAAATAATGCTATAGAAATTAACACTTTTTTATTGGCTTTAGTATTTTACTTACCTTAATATGAATGCTTTAATCCTGGGCATCCTTGCATTGTTGTTTTTAACTGTTAGTTTTCACCTTCTGTTTTGTGTTATTTTGTACTGTGATGTATGCAGCAGTATAATGACATGAAATGAAGACTGCTTTGATACTCGAGGTAACTATGGTGACTTTGTGTATTTTGGCAGAACTCATTATATAAACAAGTGGAAGAAATGGAGCAAGATAGCCTTGTCACCTTGAATGTTGAGCGCCTGAAAGGGACATATGGTCGAGTGACAGTGTCGTGGGAAGCCGAAGGGAGTGTTAGCGACATCTTTCCTACCTCAGGAGTGGTATGTGATTTGCGCTGGAAGAGGCTGATAAATCGTGGTTACTGTTGACGCACAGCACTGAGGGAGTGAAATGTTCAGGTGGCCCCGTCAGCCCAGGGGGCCTCTGCTCACCAGAGAGGGATGCACTTGAAAGTTTTATTGCACCCTGAGGGGATTCGACTGACCTTGTCAGATAGCAAAAGGTGCATTTCTAGTTATATAGGTCTTGCTTTAACTTAGTTTTAACCATCCAGCAGAAAAGTGTAACCATGAGGTATAAAAAGTAATGCCATATTAATATGCTGAGCTGTAAAAAGCTCAAGTCAGTGACTTCTGACCTTTATCAGTTCTGCTGATAACTCACGACTGCTATGGACTATTGGACTATATTGGG